GGCAGATATGGAAATATCTTAGAATTTTTGGTGACCCACTCTCTTTCTACCTGGTGCACAAGCAAATCTGAATCACCAATTACTAACAACTCCTGAATATTCATGTCGACTACCATGTTGAGTCCTAGTATGCAGGCTTCATATTTTGCCATGTTGTTGGTGTAGGGAAATCTGAGTTTAGCAAATACCGGATAATGTTGACCTGTTTCTGATACCAAAAATACTCCAATGCCCGCTCCTTTGAAATTTGCAGCTCCGTCAAAGAATATCCTCCAACCATCGTATGCTTCGGTAATGTCCTCTCCTACGAATGACAACTTTTCATCAGGAAAATACCTTTTCAAAGGTTCATATTCTCCTCCCACCGGGTTTTCAGCAAGATGGTTTGCCAATGCTTGTCCTTTGACCGCCTTTTGAGTTACGTAGACGATATCGAACTCACTCAACAGTATCTGCCATTTGGCTAACTTTCCAGTCGGCATGGGTTTCTGAAATATGTACTTCAAAGGGTCCATCCTGGATATGAGGTATGTAGTATAGGCATAGAAGTAATGCCTCAACTTCTGGGCCGTCCAGGTCAAAGCACAACAAGTGCGTTCTAGCAGAGAGTACCATGCTTCTAAGGTGTGAGCTTCTTACTCAAGTAATATATGGCTTGTTCTTTTCTCCCTATCTCGTCATGTTGACCCAGAACACATTTGAAGGCTCCATCCAATACAGATAAATAGAGTAGCAAAGGTCGTCCTGGTTCCGGCGGGACCAGAACTGGTGGTATGGATAGGTACTCCTTGATTTTGTCAAAAGCTTTTTGACAATCCTCGGTCCAGCTTGTCTTGGCATCTTTCCTCAGCATCTTGAATATGGGTTCACATATGACTATGGATTGTGCTATGAAGCGACTGATATAGTTGAGATGTCCTAGAAAGCTCATCACATCCTTTTTGCTCCTAGGTGGCAGTAACTCCTGAATAGCCTTGACTTTAGACGGATCTAACTCGATTCCTCGATGGCTGACGATGAATCCCAATAACTTTCCTGTGGGAACCCCGAATGCACACTTTGCAGGGTTCAACTTCAGATTATACCTCCTTAACCTATCAAAGAACTTTATCAAATCTGCTATGTGATCCGCAGCCCTCTTGGATTTGATAATGGCGTCGTCCATATACACCTCTATTTCTTTGTGTATCATATCATGGAAGATGGTTGTCATGGCCCTCATGTAGGTAGCCCCAACATTCTTTAGACCAATTGGCATCATCTTATTGCAGTATACCCCCATGGTATTATAAAGGTTGTTTTCTCTACGTTTTCTTCGTTCATCCAGATCTGGTGATAACCCGCGAAGCAATCTACAAAAGATTGGAGTTCATGATTGGCGCAATTATCGATCAATATGTGTATGTTTGGCATTGGGAAATCGTCCTTGGGACTTGCTCTGTTTAAATCTCGATAGTCAACATATACTCTGACTTTCCCATCTTTCTTCGGTACTGGCACAATATTAACTAACCAGGTTGGGTACTCAACAACCCTGAGAACTTTGGCTTTGATTTTCTTAGTAACTTCCTCCTTGATTTTCAGGCTCATGTCTGGTTTGAATTTACTGAGTTTCTGCTTTACCGATGGACACATGGGGTTAGTAGGCAACTTGTGAGCCACTATGGACGTGCTCAAACCAGTCATGTCATTATATGACCATGCAAAAATGTCCTCATATTCCTTTAGAAAATGGATGTACTCCTCTTTCTCTGTCGGCGATAAATGAATGCTGATGCGAGTCTCCTTGACGGTCTCAGCGGCCCCAAAATTTACCGCTTCAGTGTCGTCCAGGTTGGACTTAGGCTTATTCTCAAAATTTTCAACTTCCCTCACAACTTTCTCAGGTATCTCATCTTCTTCATCCGAACCAGTATTCTCATGTTGTGTTGCCTCGTTACATGTCACAATCACCGGTTCATCAGGAAAAGTAACAATAACATTGTAGAAAAAAAAATATGAAAGATAATAATAAATAATAAAGAGCAATACATTTGATTAATACTTAAAACACCTAAATGGGTACGGCTCGATGAATCAAGCATTTATTTTGAAACAAGTGAATCTTAAAAACAAATTATGGAAAATATTAAATGCCTAGAATGGCTATAGGAACGAAATCTGCCAAGCTACCTAGGGACTCAGCAGGCCCAGGATGGTGTGGCGGTCTAGTTCCTAATAACAACTCCCTTCTCCACAGTCCGAATAGTGAGGCCTTCCTCCTCCTCCTCCTCCTCAATTATTGCACTATAGTCCATGTCCTCATTCTCAAAGAACAGATTCCTCAACCCAGCTAATGCTTCCTTTTCTGTAGTTTCCCATATTGTGCCGACTTGGTGAAAAGCCTGATTCAGATGTGGCACTGGTTGCTCGAGAGGGTAATAAGGTCCACGCCATAGAGGCGACCAATCATTATACTGATATCCGAGTCCGAAGGTAGTACCGTGACGCTTTAGCTGTATCGGCTTAATAATACCTAGAGATTCTTCCCAAGCCCCTTGTCGGGTTTATACCCAGACCATGCCAATAAGCTTTCTATTTTGCAGCTCCACCATTTGTCTTTTTCAACATCATTGACACGTTTGATATGATGGTAAGTTTCCCCTCCCAACCTTCTTCTATTTCCAATAACTGGGATGGTTTGACTGGTGTAAATAGGGTTACTCCTATCTCCGTGAATGATCACCTCCTGATGGTTCCATTCAAATTTCACGGCTTGATGTAGTATGGATGCCACAGCCCCAGCGGCATGTATCCATGGTCGGGACAACAGAAGATTACATAAGGCTAGTATGTTGAGCACCTGAAACTCAACGTCGAACCAAGTTGGCTCCATTTGTAGACAAAGATTAATTTCTTTAATCGTGGCCCTTTGGGGCCCATCGAAAGCTTTCACATTCATGCTCCTTGCCTGTATTTCATGGAAACCTTTGCCCAGTCTTTTCAGAGTATCCAACGGACAAATATTGAGGTTGGAACCTCCATCAACCAAGACCCTGGCAATGAACTTGTCTTCAAATTGCATTGTGATATGCAATTCTCTGTTGTGATTCAACCCTTCAGGTGGTAACTCATCTTCGTGGAAGATTATCTTGTGACTTTCCAGCACCTGCCCTACCATATTGGCCATCTCTCCGTAGGTGATATTGTTGGGCACGTAGGCTTCACTAAACACCTTTATCAAAGCATTCTTATGTTCCTCGGAATTTTACAGCAGTGATAGTATGGATATTTGAGTTGGGGTTTTGTTCAAATTATAGATGGCGGAATATTCCCTTGCTTGCACTTTCCTCCAAAGGTTATCTGGTCCTATTTCGATGATAGGCTGCTTGGTAGCAGTATCCTTACTTGGTCCTCCCAAGTGTTCAGGTGTATAGATTCTCCCGGTCCTGGTCATTCCCTGCGCAACATCAAATTCCTCCATTTTCGTCTTCCCTTTTCGCCTAGCCTTAGCAACATAATCCCAGGGTATTGCTTTTGAGTCGAAAGGAGGTGTGGTTGATACCATCACCATGAAAGGTGTGGCCACTTCCACTTCAAATGGAACAAGGGTGGCCGCAGACGGAGCTACCTCTACCTCAAACGGAACTGATGCAGTTATTTCAACTTCAATCGGTGCCTGAGTCTGTACTACAATGGGAGTGAATGTGACTGCACGTTTAAAGTCATCACGTTCCCGAATAAGCCCGATTGACCTCTCAGGATCCCACTCTTCATTCGTTTCTATCACATGTATCCCACCACCCCTATGATCAGGGAGGGGGTTATTGCGGACACTAGGTGTGGCTTCCTTTGCCTGTATGACCTTGTTGTCAATCAGCATCTGGATCTTATCTTTCAATATTCGGCATTCATCAATGATGTGCCCTTTCATACCGGAATGGTATGCACAGGTTTTGTTTGGGTTAACCCGTTGGGATGGGTTCTCTAATGCCACAACAAGAATAGGGGTGACATAACCAGTGGCTTTCAACCTTTCATATAGCTGGTAGATGGGTTCAGCAATAGTAGTGTACTGTTTGGGTGGCTTACGGTCAAAGTTTGGTCGTGGTCTTGGAAAATTTTGGCAAGTTGGAGGTGATTGGAAATGGGATGGTTGGGAATTATAGGTATGATAGACAGTGGTTGGTTGGGAATATTTAGGAGATGAGGGTTGATATGTGGGTGGTGGTGCTTGGTATGTGGGTAGTGACTCTTGGTATGTGGGTGGAGGTATTTTATATGTAAGTGGAGTTTTTAGGCCCTGGGCCACCATTACTGCCCCAACGTCTCTCTTCTTTGATATACCGCCTGATTGTAATGCCTTATTTGTGGCCTATAATTCCTCAAAGTTCGTTACCATCCAACTTTTGATACCTTCCTCAATTCTTTCCCCAAGCTTGAATATCAGAGAATTTATCATTTTCAATAACCATCAATCTTTCATAATACTGCGAAACTTGTGCTCTGATGAAGAACTTGTTCATTTGTTCCTCCTCAAAAGATGGCCTGACCTTGGCCGCTTCCGACCTCCAACGAGTAGCATACTCGCGGAAAGTTTCGATCTGTTTCTTCTTAAGATTCTGGATGTAAAAAACATATGGTGCATTCTCTGTATTGAACCCGAACCGGTCCATGAAATCCGATGCCATACCCACCCAATTGGACCATTTCTTGGGATCTTGACTGATGTACCAGGACAAAGCATCTCCAGTAAGACTCCTCATAAAGAGTTTCATCCGGATCTTTTCGTCTTTCCTAACCCCAACAATCTTGTCACAGTAGGTCCTTAGATGAACCCTGGGATCACTTGTATCGTCAAACATCTCTAACTTGGGAGGTTTTTATCCTTCTGGGAGTTCTACATTTGGATGTATGCATAGGTCTTCATAGTTCAAACCTTCTATTCCCTTGCCGCCTTCGACACCCTGAACTCGACTTGTCAGCTTCTTGAGTTCTTCAGCCATATTTTTAATGAGCAGGTCCTTCTCAGAGGATTCTGGGGTATAGGAGATTGGTTGGATAGAGTGAGGCACAGTTTCTATGTATATGGAGTTGTTCTGGTGAGTGCTAGGTGCCTGGGTGTAATGGTGTTCATTGGTAGAGTTTTGAGGGTCAGGAATGGGTTGTGGGGGTATTCTAGGGAGTATGATAAGTGGTGGTTGGTAGGTAATGAATTGGTTGATGATGATGTTGTGGAAGAGTTGGTATTAGTAGGGGATTGAGATTTTGGGGTGGGGTTACGTACTGATGCAGTGCATGAGGGTTTTGTGGATGTTGGTTTGGTGTGTTTTGGGGAAGTGTTAGGTTCTTTGTGTTTTGTTGGTTGATGTCGGGGACATTTAGGGTGAGTTTGCCAAGTTGCAGACCTGCTCAAGTTCTCCCTGTAGTTCTAATATCTTTTGTCCCAACCTTTAGACCAGGTCATTTGGTGCCGGGGTACTCCGGCCATCTGAAGCTTCTGCGTTCTCAGCATTCTCCTTTCGAATACCACTTAAATCATCCATTTTTGCTTTTCCTTTGACTTTTGTATTACTTGGAGGAGGAGGTGGAGGTCCTCTAGATCTGGTGTGATACGCTGATGATGCCAGTATGAGCGAACCAACCTTAGAGGGTAGGAATAATAAATAAAGAAAAACGAAAAGGTAAACAAGTTAGTAAGGGTTCTGAAATGTTTGAAATATTTAAACACATATTGCGAGAATGTAAATTCGTGTCCTAATTTGGGAGCCTCGTTGTGCTGAGGTAGGCCTAGTGACAAATAAATTTGGAGAAATTGAGTGCCAATAATTGCTTCATTTTATTAAAGAAAACATAAACGAACCAAAATGAAACTAAATAAAATAATGTCACTAATGGCTCTTGGCCTTATTACAGTTGAAAGGAAAGCAAATAAATCTAATCTACTTGGTCCCAGAAGGACCCTCTCCAGACTGGATGCTTTTGTCAATCAATTCTTCCATCTCGCGCAGGTTCAGTAGCGGAAATGCCCTTGCTAGGTGCCCTCCTTCATTTCCTTCAGCGTTCTGGCAGTCAGTGACCCTTTTCCTCATCTTCCCTTCCAACTCTATTAAACTGTACTCTAGGTATTCTAGCCTCTCGCTGGATTTAACAGTTCTTTCTTTCCACTCGTTATTCATTTCCATATCAGCCTTGTGAAGTTCCATATGCTCGGCTTCAGACTCTCGAACTCTTTTCCGTAGCTTGTTTTACTTCACCTCTACTTCAGTAACCTCGTCTATAACCCTGTTTCCTGGCCCAGCCCTTGGCTCAACGACCCCAGTTATGTTTTCCTCCAACCACGAAGGGTTAAGGTATGAGTGGTCGGCATGATATCGGTCTGGCTCAATAGTATCCTACTGCACAATGATCCTCAAGGTCCACATGTGTTGCGCTTCATTCTTATACGGGATGGCGTCACCTTGGAAATTAGCTTTGAAGTGACACGTTATAGCGACCCATGGTATGATTTGTCTCCTGCATGCTTGTCTCGTAATGTTGTGGGGAGCGCAAGGGTGTATCCCCTCAATTCGATCAATACCAAGTGCGAAAAATCTTTGGATCTAATGATGAATTCATCAGTAGGGAACCACTCGAACATCCACTGGACTTGATCCTCAGTCAAATTTTCAAAAAGCTGTACCCATCCTGCAATGTCCTCTGGCTGCGCAAACATGTCTAGAATATAAAAAGATATTAGGGATGATGGAAGGCTATGTGATCATTCCACGACCTTTGCAGAAATTCTTGACTGTATTGTCCCTTTTGGAGTTCCAACAACCAGACTTGTAGCAGCAAGTTGCAACCCTCGAAGAACTTGAACCCCTTCTGACATCGCTCCAAAGACCGGTACATGTCTGCAAAAATCATAGGGATGATAGTGTATGTCTCCCCCTCGATCCCGTCCATAAGAGTTTTTGTTACCATGGCCAGCCTAGTATGGATCCTATCCCCTTGGATTGGGAATACCAGCATGCCCAAAAACCATATAATAAATACGAAGACCCTACGATGAATCCAACCTAAAGAAATGATTGAGAACTCATCATCAAAAATACGATAAGAGCTGTTGTGATTGTATCTTTCATAAAGGAACTCAAAAGGTATGTAGGAGTCCTTTAGGCATTTTAAGTTGTCATTTTTCTTCAGCCCTACCATCTTCAGAAACCCCCTAGCAGTGCGATTTTTAGGTGCCAACAGATTAGGACTATCTCAAGGTAACCCAACAAATCCTTCTATCTCTTCTAGAAGAGGTGTCATTTCTATGTTCCCAAAACCGAACACAGCCCTTTCCTTGTCCCAAAACATAGTTGCAGCGTCGACCAACATTTTGTTGAGCTGAAGATCCATCAGAGAAGGCAAGTTTCCTAGGAATCGTTTCACATGGTTTTGGTCACATAAAGGAAGATACCTCCACCAATCTAGAAAAAGTGAGGGTGTGCTAAACATACCGAATCTGGAGACCTCGTGCCTCATTTTCTGCAAAACAAAGAGAGTTAGGCTTTTTCCCTCTCCAGGTTCGTATATTTATACAGTAATAATTAGCATATTGGCACTTATTCTCCAAATTAATGCACATAATCGTGGTTACGTCCGTTGGGATTATGAAAAACCCGATGGACTTTGGACAAGGCTTGTCTAAAAGGGTTATTATGTGGATAACATATTAACCCGACTAGGTTTGACCATGATGCATGTACAATTTAATCAGAGTAAGGTTACTATAGAGGTCTATACTGAGACCTTCAAGCGGACCACTTGAGGGGGAAAGGCACAAAACCGTCGAACGCACCGCTGATCGACTAGTTTTACCGTAAATATGCCTTTCCGAATTTAAAGTGTGATATATAGGAAGAGCGCAAACACTCATCAAGCGTTGCTATAGAATTAATTACGCACGAGTGGAGTATGATGTTGAGCATGATCTATGCAACAATAAATAGCATGTTGTCAAGTATTTTCACATAAGAATAATAACAAATGCAGTATTTAAATAATTGAAAGGACAGTTACAGAAAAGAAAACAAAGAGACAAGTCAGTAAAAAAATCATAAATGCTTTGAAAAATAGACAGTTAAATTCAAATAAGGGGAACGGGTACATGGGATAGAGCATGCTTGGACTAATACACAAAAGATAAGTTCGTTATGGTAAGGGCTTAAAAATATCCCCAGCAGAGTCGCCATGCTGTCGCGCCCCCTTTTTTCCCCCTCTTGACGGGGAAAGTCTAGGTTTTGACATTCATGGGGAAATAACTCGTTTTCTTTTGGGAATTGGGTATTTGAAGAGTCGCCACCTAACGGATTATGGTGCGTTAGGGCACCTTGAGCAATTAACTCATGGACTAGTTTGCATTATCAGAGATCTAGGGTAAGGGCTCGAAATAACCTTGAGGGGAAGGTGTTAGGCACCCCTCGCGGTCTACAAGGTAGGTCCCGGCCGAACATAAACTATGTGAATTAGTCATTTTAACAAATAAATAGTTTTAACATGTACTTGCAAGTAAAGGCATATTTTTGACATTCTAAGCACATGTATGGTTCAAGTAATGGAACAAGGAAAAAGGTTCGAACAAGTTGCACATACATAAATAAAAGTAAATTTATTTAAACAACGGGAGTTGGGAAAGAGGGGTCCTAAGTTGGTTAGCCTAAAGGATCATACCCACACAATGCTCGATAAATACTCCTCAACGAGGGGCTACACGTGACATTAGCGCGTGGTCATCATATTCCTTACTACCCAATCCCCTCCCCTGGTCATAGCCTAAAGCGTTCTAGCAACCTTGAACGATATCCTATGCGTGCACTACCCTTCCCTTCCTTGTGGCCCTGGAGATATTTAGGACCTCTAATTTAGGTAGTTCTAGACCATCTTAAGGTATTTAAAGGAGAAAAGTCTAAGCGTCAATCAAAACAATTAGGACTGCACTTAAAGAGGGAACAATTAAAGGCTCACATTTACCTCCACAAACATAACAAGTAAGTGCACGTCTCAAACAACAGTTTCAGGTATTTAAGAGAAAACCTTAGAACATGATATCTAGGTGAGCAGAGAGCATACAGTATTGAACTCGGACAAAAGTGTCAAAGAACTGAATCCTACTTGCCTACTGATTCTTTTAAACCTGTTGAATGTGAACAATCTCAAATAACAAGACGCAATTTTATCATTTGTAGAATTTTAATAGCCCTACAATTTTGCCTAGACATATAACAGTGATGTCCTATGAGCATGGTATCTGTTATTGACTAGGAATAAAGTAAAACAATAAACGATTTTTAAACGGACAACATGAGATCCTATAGGCATGTTTTCTAGCAATATTAATTAAGGCAACATTTGAAAACTTATTAAGGAAGCGGACAGATTAGTAAATTAAACCAATTCAGAATAAACAAACATGAATTAAACTATTTTTCTAACTAAACTGGTTTTAAGTCTTATAGGCATGATTTCTAGTTAAGCATAAGGTGAAACAAACAACATTCATTTAACCAAAGTGAAACCCCTATAGGCATGACTTATATCAGAGCTGATTTTAACCCTATAGGCATGATCTCTATTATTAATACCAGTTTTGATCCTGTAGGCACAACTTCTAATTGTGTAGAAGTAAAGCAAACAAAACTTATTTTAAACCGAAGCAGATCCTATAGGCATGTTATCTAACAAACACATTTGAATCAATAAAGACCCTATAGGCATGGTATCTACCCAATTTTACCCATATTATATAACCACTCTCCCTTTTCACTAATCACCCTATTGTTTGTTTACAATTAATTATTACAGACTGATGAATTGAATAAAAATTACATAAATAGAACATAAACTAATCTATAGGGAGCCTGAAGTAGGCCCAATTGATTTCCAAGCCTCCATTAGTCTCAAATGCCCAAAGTTCCATAGCCAAATTCATGCTTAGGTGTGTCAGAGTTCTCTAAGGACCTCAAAGATCCCGAGCAGTGCTCACACCTAGACCTTTCTCAAATAATAACTGATTTAGGTGCAGTGTGGAAATGCTATTCCTGACATGCCAGAGTTTAGAGAGATCTTAAGT